GGGGTTAAGACCGGGGGCACCTGCCCCATTCCAGTAAACGGGAGGCAGACTCGCCTCCCTTCCCTTTACGGCTAATTGCTATCCCATTCCGGTTTCCCTTTTCGTCTCAAGCTTCTAATCCGTGACCGGCTGTCCGGATCTAACACCACCGACCGGCTGCCCGTCACCGGTCACGTGAGCCTTCCCTCTTTTCGAGTCCTTCCGTACAGTTTGCGTTCGCGCGTGGGTTACCCAGCGGCGCGCACTCCCTTACCTCTAACCCCCCTCGTTTCCGAGTGGTCGGGACGAAGGTAGTTATACCACACTGATAAAGCAATGATACTTTGTAATGTTAGAAAGGGGAGTGCAAGGCCGAGCAACAGATTCGTGCAGCTCCGCTGGCATGCAAGGACGGCGGTGGGTATGGAGGAGGGGACAGGTGTACGGCGTGCGAGAGCAAGAGCTTCCTGCAGCTCGACTGGCATGCAAGGACGGGGGGTGGGTATAGACGAGGGGCGCTGGTGGACGGCGTGCGCGAGCAAGAGCTTTCTGCAGCTCGGGTGACATGAAAGGGCGGGGATATGGAGTAGGGGAACTGGTGTACGGCGTGCGCGAGCAAGAGCTTTCTGCAGCTCGGGTGATATGAAAGGGCAGGGGGTGGGTACACGTGTAGAATTTTTGATCTCATCTGCCCCTACACTATAATGGTGTACTTTAATAGTATGCGTGATACTAAAATGTGTGGCAATGAAAATAGTGTCATGGATCATGGAGGATATACAGTGCGCGAAACTGCAATAAATACACCCATCGAGGCACACATGAACAACACTTCCCAACCCCCTTTTAAAGAATCGTGTGTTGTACAGTACCATGGCCAAGCAGTAGAAACGCATGTGAAGACCAATTGACCTCCAAGAATACCGTTCTCAAGCTAGACCTCTAAAACCGCGCGAAAGTGGCATAAATACGCGAAATTCCATATAGCACAGTACCTTGAAGGCGCCAAAACATGAGCACAATGCACTATATAACGCTTTCAACAGTAGCAACTCGGCTTGTAAGAGTAGCTTGTGCAACTGCCGGTGATCTTTCCAACAATTACGACAGGTACTATGCCCCGCGGGCCTGCTATTACCGATATTGAGCGCGGCCAGATATTGGCGCTTCATGCAGAATGTGTATCATTTAGAGGCATTGCTGGCATTTTAAATCGTTCCGTTGGTGCTGTAAAAGGTGTGGTTCGTAAAGGTTTTAAACATAAACACACAAGGCAGTGGAAGGGAAACAAAAAAATATCTGAGACACAGAGACGGGCAATCATCCGAATGGCCTTAAAGGGAGAAGAAAGTGCGAGAACGATACAGGCTGAGATCAAACTACCCATTGGCCATAGACGTGTTCAGCAAATACTCAGCGCCGTACCCTACTTAAAGTATAAAAAAATGATAACGGCACCACAAATGACCCCTCTACACAAAGAAAATCGGGTGAAATGGTGCCGTAAGTTCATAAGCAAGGGTGAGGAATTTTGGAATTCTGTGGTGTTTAGCGATGAAAAGAAGTTCAACGGTGATGGCCCTGATGGCTTGGCATCCTACTGGCATGATTTACGCTCTAAAGAGCGCATGTTTTCCAAAAGACAAAATGGTGGGTTTTCGGTCATGGTTTGGGGAGCCATTAGTCTTTATAGAGTATCTCCGCTCATCTTTATGGACGCAGACAAGATTCTATCAAGTATGTTGATGTTCTACGTCGTGGTTTGCTGCCGTTCGCGTCGGAGGTATTTGGTGAAGCGCAGCGTTGGTTTTATCAACAAGATAACGCACCGATTCATACGTCGCGTTTTACAAGGAGTTGGCTATCTGAGCACGCCATTTCTACCCTACCGTGGCCCCCAAAGTCCCCAGACATTAACATTATTGAGAATGTCTGGGGTGTGATGGCTAGGATGGTTTATGCCAGAGGTAAGCATTACCAGAATGTCCAAGATTTGAAGGTAGCTATCGAGGAAGCTTGGTCTACAGTAGGTTCTGAGCTTTTATTGACGCTTTACAAGAGTCTACCGCGTCGTATGCATGCGGTTATGGACGCGCGTGGTGGTGCAACAAAGTATTAAAGACGTGTTTCTGTTTTGTGTCATATCAAATTTCGCGTATTTATATCAATTTCGTGTAGTTTTTTAAACATAGATCGACAATCGTGCTTGGTATGGTGGTTTGGAACTGACAGGTGTTAATATCGGCGAGTGCTTGCCCCGCATACGTGGCAACTTCGAGCAGACACCACAAGAAGTGCTAGAATGTTTCTCGTCGATGGTGTATTTATTGCAGTTTCGCGCACTGTAGTGTCACGCAGACTATTCACTGTGAGCATGTTTTAAATTCTCTCCCGGAAATAGTATAGGTGACAGACACTAAATACGATAACTGGGTGTACAGTAAAAATGCAATTTTCCCTAAAAATATCCCACAGCTCCCTAATCTCTCTACAGCAGTGGACACAGGAGGAAAAAAAAAGAAAAAATGATGAAAGTTAGGTGTCAGTCATCAGTCAGAAACTGGAAATTTGGTTTGAGCTCAGCCTCTCATCCCAGTTCTGTTATAACTGCTCGTTGCTAAAAGGAATTGCACGACGATAGGTAACAAGGGGAGCGCGACGGGGCGGCACGCACATGGAGACTGTCAAGGACAGAGTGTCGAGCAGGCAGTCTCCGGGGCGCGGGTGGCTGCGTCTGGTGCGGTGGAGGGTGCCGTTGGGGCGAGCGGGGCGTTGTCTCGCGCTGGCGACGGTGTTGCTCTGCGGTTGGGCAAGTGTGTTGCAGGCGGGCGTCCCCGCGCGTGCGGCGGGCAGGGACGGGTGGGGCGGCGGGTGCGCCAAGTACATTGTGTACGACAAGCCGGTGAAGACGGGGAGCACAGCGATCACGCAGTCGCTGAAGCGTGGGCTGCGGGCGCGCGGCGAGGCGTGGGCGACGTGCACGGCGGACGGGTGTCTGCGGCTCGCGGAGGAGATCTGCGCGGGGCGGCGGGCGCCCGTGCACCTCGTGCAGCACATGGCGGGCAAGCGCGGGGTGGTGCAGTGCCTGCGCGGGCGCGGGTACTACGCGGTGACGAGCGTGCGGCGGGCGCGTGCGCGGTGGGAGAGCGCGTGGCTGTACAACCGGATGGCGAAGGGGCGGCACTACGGGCTTGCGTGGGACGTCGGGTACGGGGAGTTCATGCGAAGGTTCCCCGCGTGCGCGCTGCTGGCGTACTATGACGGCGGGGCGAAGAATTGCGCGGGGGAGGTGCGGGCGGAGGAGAGGGTGCGGCGGATCGCGCGGAGGTACGACGAGATCATCGACCTGGAGAAGGGCGACGGCGGGCAGGTCAGGGCGATGCTGCGCGGGCTGGGGCGGCCGAACCGCAGCGACAGGCCGCGAGGGGCGTGGAGAGGGGTGATGGACGAGGGCAGGCTTAGGAACGAGAGCTTGCTGTACGAGGCGCTTGTGCGGAGACGGGAGGAGCTGCTGCGGGCGGCGGACGGGCGGCGGCTTTTTTGCGGATGGGGGAGAAGGTTGTTGGGGCGGGGCTTTTTGGGAGGACAGGGGATTAGGGACAGGCTGTCTCGATTGTGTACGGTACCCTTGGGTACCCTTGGTACTGGACAAGTTGGAGCATTTCAGCGAGGTGTTGGGGGCAGGCTGTCTCTCGACCGTGTACAAGTTGAGCTTTCAAAGCGAGTGTTGGAGACAGGCTGTCTCGATCCTACACAAGCGAGGTGTCGGAGACTGGCTGTCTCCATCGTGTGTGTGTACGAGTGTAATGCGGGGGGGGCGGCTGACACTGAGCGGGCGTCCTCGCTGTACGGCGGGGGCGTCCGTCTCGGTGGAACGGGGGGCGGGGAGGACGGGGGCGGCGAGGGCGGTGGAACGGCGGTGGAACGGCGGTGGAACGGCGGAGGCGCTCGCGTGCCGCCCCGAGCCCGCTCGCCCACAGCCGCCCCTCAGCGCCCAACGTACCGCACCCCCCGCCCCTTCCGCCCTTCGCACCCCGCGCCCGCATCACTTCACTGTCCGCCGCGAGTCCCCTCTCCGGCTCCGCGCCCGCGCCAGCCGCCCCCCCCGTCATGTGCCCGCCACTCCCTTGGAGGACAAGGGTTATGTGCAGAC